TAATTGAAAAGAAATAGTTTGCAAACTCTAATCATCGATCACTGGTTACAAAATATTTTTTACCTGCTTCACGACTGTCGTAACATGCAAGTGTGTCTCCACCATACATACATGATGAAGAGACTGCTGATTTACAGCATAACACTTAGTAAAGAAGAAAATGTTTATTTCATTCTTGAGTAAACTTACCTCTTTGTTTTGGGAAAATGTGGTCAGGATGCTGTAAAATAAATTAAAAGTGAATTAGGTAATTACTGTAACATACAAACTTTAGCAAAAATTTAAAAAATATTAAATAAGATACTACCTTCATTACTGGCCGGGCTCGCTTCTCAAACAAACCACTTGGAAAAAGGTAAACAATAGCTCTCTGGAAATATATACAAAAGTTAATTAGCAACTCATTAAAATAAGTTAACATTAAAACTAACAGTTACTATAAGCTTACTGTGTGCCACACACTGAACTAAGATTTTCATAGGCATTATCTCATTTCATAATTTTTTAAATGGGATAATAAAATTACTACCCTCAATTATGGATCGAAGAGCCTTGGTGGAGCACGGTTAAGTGCTCAGCTGCTAACTACAAGGTCTGCAGTTCAAACCCACCAGCCGCTCTGTGGGAGAAAGATGTGGCAGTTTGCCCCTGTAAAGATCACAGCCTTGAAAACCCTACGGAGCAGTTCTACTCTGTCCTATAAGGTTGCTATGAGTCAGAATTGACTCGAAGGCAACAGGTTTGGGGTTTTTTGACATTATGAATCGAACTGTATCCCCCCAAAAGATATACTAAAACCCTAACTCCCAAACAGGTTTTTGAAGATGTTATCAGTTAAGTTAAAATGAGGTCATACTGAAGTAGTGTGGGCCCTAATCCAATCTGAATAGTGCCCTTATAGGAGGAGAAACACAGAGAGAAACAGGGAAAACAGCCATGTGAAGATGGAGGTAGAGACTTCGAGTGATCCATCTATAGGCCAAAGAATGCCAAGGATCGTCAGCTATTACCAGAAACTAGGAGACAGGCATGGATCACATACTCCCTCAGAGCCCTCAGAAGAAACAAACATGGCCAACACCATGATTTCCAACTCCTAGCCTCCAGAACTGTGAGACAATAAACGTCTGTTCTTACAAGCCACCCAATTTGTGGTATTCTGTTACAGCAGCCCTCAGAAACTAATACATATCCCCAAAAAAGACGAAAGAAATTGTAACTATGAAACTGGTTATTGACCATTTTCAAGTGTCAGTTTCAAACATGCCACTCCTTGAATGTGATACCACAAATGACAGCTCTTTTTTCTTGGCTGTTGTTGTTAAGGAAAACTAGAGGTGTTTCTATACAACTTCTGTGGTTTTGTGTTCAGGAGCAATCATTTAACCCAAAGGACAGGATACTGAAAAGAACAGGCTCTAAGTCTCAGCTACTATGACACCCCTGATGTTTTCAGATGCTCTTTGGGCTTTTCCCAGAAGTTGTAGGAGATTTTTAAACTACCCTCTTTTCAAACAAGTTCTCTTAAGCATCTGTGTCTCAGTGGGGATGCTACTGGCATTTTTAGAGTGACAACTCTCTTGTAGACAACCTTCCCCCATACTATAGGTCATTTAACATAGATGGTCCTTTTCCAAAATATGCCAGAAATACCCCTAAATCCTTTTCCTTGTGATAAATTTCACACCACACATATTTCCAAATGCTCCTTACACCCTAGAGAGTAGTACTGGCCTCCCATGCCCTTGAGAACAACTGCTTAAGTCATTACAGTGTCTTCTTCAATACCTCTCCTCACCATTTAAAAAGCACATTTTCATCCTTGCTAAGTAGTGTCAGATGAGCAGTCCGTAACCTTGAATCCTGGCACCCTATATGAACTCTAAATGAACTGGTAGCTCATTAAAACACAGAGCTGCTACTTTAGAGACCTTTTCTCAAGACACAGCCTTCTCTACCGACCCATACAGTAAACGGGCTGCACCAGATTCTGCCTTGAAAGGAGGGGCTTATAATTTTGGGAGTAAATTCAATTATAGTAGGGGGCCCAGTTGTGGCTCTGGGTCAAACTGCTCTCTCTCATCCTCTCA